GTATTATGATCATTTCTTTGACGTAGTTGTCTCACTACCTGTTTTCTTAGAATGATTATGAGGGAAATTGGTTATAGATCTCAGATGAAGAATAATTAGATTCCTTGTTGCAGCCGCTTGTTGACTTCAGTAAGATTTTTGTCTTAAAACTATTTGATTAAAAGTTGAATATGCTATATGTTGGAATCATTATTTTTAGCATCTAAATCAGTTTTGTGAAATGTTTTAACAAGTCTGAACTTGTACGATAACCATATTTATTCCCTAAACCATTTGGGCCTTTTGTATTTTTCTATAGAATTAATTTAGCAAAGATTTGAAAGAGTGAAAGCCGCTTTTCTAGCTTTATTCAGGGCAGAGACTTGTGTTGTGACAGCTCTGATGACATCTCTGTGGGAGGACTCACCTTTATGATGTGGACTCTAAAAGGAAGAGGCACTTCCTCCTTTCTAGTCTTGCATCATCTACCATGACAGAAACATGATCTGTTCCACTTTTCTGTGCCTTGAAAGTCACTCGGCCTGGATACCAAAGGCTTTAGCAGCTTGTTAACCATCACAGAAGAGTTTTATCTGAAGTTTAGACTCGTCGGGCTTCCTGTTCCCTGCAGATTCAATTCAATTTTATTTATATAGCGCCACATCACAACAGTTGTCTCACAGCTTTCTAAACAGAGCAGGTCAGACCCTACTCTGAAGTTAATTACAGAAACCCAACAATTCCCACCATGAGCAAGCAGATGAAACCTTTGTTTTCAATATCTTCACCTGGCTTCTCAGTTTAGACCACACAGTTAACATGTGATAAAATCTATATATTTCCACATAAAGGAACACGCTAGTATTAAAGACTGAAACCAAAGAAAGTCAGAAAAAGAACTGGGTTGGCTAATGAGTCATGAATTATTGACTGTAGCAGCTCACATGCTTTAAATCAGGCTGTCAGCTGGATCTGGTTAAAATATATCCGTATATTTATCAGCGGAGGTATAAACTAGGGATGGGACGGTTTCTGAAAACCGTCTGAACCGTTGGGTTCTGTCTCGGTTCGGTTGGCGTGTGTTGCGTTCGGTTCCTGCTGCTCCTTTTTCTCAGAGGGAAGCGTTTACACTCCAGAGCAGAAGGGGGCGCTACTGCGCCCAAAGCCAACCACCAGCAGGAAACCAGAAGAAGAAGAAGAAGCGTAGCCAATAAAAATCAGACCCAGCAGCAGTTTCTAGGTCTGCTGTATGGACCAGTTTGCATTTAGAGGGAAGCACATGTTGGAATTAGCTCTGTTTCCTCTCTGGCAGAATCTCACCTACTTTTAACCTAAGACTGTCACAGTAATGGATCAAATGTCAGACTGCTTTTTTCTTTCAGTTTTAACCTGACTATACAAGACATAATAGACGTTCCTAACAATCAACATAAACCGAACCGAACCGAAAACCGTGACCAC